TAACTGAATGACCTAGCTGGTTAATTTTCAGAATTCTTAACAGTCAACGTGTGACGACTCTGCTGATTATAAAAATCAACGCTGATATCTATATGAACATTAATCAAAATATGAACAAACAATCTGACTTTATCTAAAAACTATATTTAAGATAATCTTAACGGTTGAAATTCATATGTTACTTCTATCTAACTTGTGTTATATCCTAGTGAAGATTAAACAATGGGTAACCTCTGAAAGCTATTAATGGGGTAATATTATAAATATATACTTGTTGTATAACTATTGAATAACTAGATTATATATATTCATATTCCTCTTATTATAAGCTTTATTTTGACCCATAGACTGTTATTCTACGATTTACCATTCTCAAGTTAGACCCAGTTTATGAACTACAGTCACAATCACAGCCAATTTTGGGCTTGATCCTGTATAATTGTTATTTATTTTATTTTATGGTATGATGTGATCTGTTTGTCCAGTATATAAACTCTGAATGTCTGAAATATATGATTCATACAGTAGAAGCTGCTATTATTGGCGTTCTGGGCTCACTATCCTGGGCTTGGCAGAGAAAGAATTATGAATAAGGATGCTAGACTGTTCAGACCGGTCAACATGTCATTGTTAAGATGGTATAAGTCGTGTTCTGATTGGTGATTTTATCATATGATGATCGACCGAACAAAAGTCATAATAACTTGTTTGAATTTCTTCAAAGGAATATAATTAGATTTTTATTTATTTCCTTAAGAAATCTAGAACTAATTTGATTGAAGAAACGTTTGAAATCATCTAGATTTTAACAACATCTGAAGTTATGATGATTTCGAAATAGTAATATGTTAAATCTCTGTGAAATTTATACACAAATAACAATTTATCGATTTCAATAAAATTTGGTGAAATTCTTTATCATGCACCAACGAAACTATTCTACCAGTAGAAGGAATAGTTGTTTAAACTTAATTTATAAACTATTTGTTTACTAAATAGTAATCACATACTTGTATACTTCATTATTCTGTCTAAAGTTCAATGATCGAGTTGTAATGTGACCGTTAGATGATAAGAAATATTCTTAGGAGAGGAACGATTCACTTAAACTTTGTGCTAGTCTATATTTATCAGTAATGGGATACATCTGTACTCTTAAGAGATTTGATACAATCTATAAGATTTAGATCTGGATCACTAAATGTCATAATCAAAGTATTCTCTCATTAAGTTATTTGAACTGTTGGAGTCGAACAATTTAATAACAAATTAACAAAGATGAATAGTGCCTAGTAGTGGAATACAGGACAAGTGTTTCGTCCTATTTAGGACTCATCATTTTAATGTACCTATATCTCAGAGTTAATGTTCATTTTGAGACTGGAAATAATACCGTTCACTTCAAACATCACCACGTTATTCACTTAGATACTAAGTGTTGCCAGTCATTTGTTTGTACAATGGGGTGAATTTAATAACTAATTGTCTATAACATTTCTAAAAAAGGAAAAAAATTGTATCCAAGTTAAACGTTATAATATTTTATGAATGAATGGCTAACTCAATTAACTTTACACGTAAAATACTAGAGAAAAAAACAAAAAAAAGAAAAAGAAACTAAAGTGATTAATCGATTTTCACATGATCTGTCTACTCAATAAAAGACATTGGTAATATTAATTATGCGTACTCGTGATATTTAACTTAACTCTAATAAATCCCTATCATACATATATATACGTCTGTACGGTAACACGCACACATACACGCACACATACACACACATACACACACAAAGTGATAAATATACTTACACTATTTTAATTTGTACTTTATTAATTATGTAAAATAAAAAAAAATTTATAAAAACTATTTCTCTAATACGCCGAAAAAAATTTTTTTCTTTAAAAATTTATTTTGTATTCAAGAATTAATCAATAAAAAAGTTTCTATGTTACAAAATTAATATGAATGAGATAATTCTAAAAAAAAAGATAAATACAAGAAGAAGAAAAAAAAGAAAGAATGTATTAACGAGGAGTTCCACAATAGGATGAAACGACCGTCCAGTGTTTCAAGGTTTTTCAATGGTGGTCTAACTTCAATTGACTCATGATCTTAACCAATGAAATTACTATAACATCTAAAAAACCCATCTGATATTAATCAACATATGCTCACTAGTGACTGGCTTCAAGAAGTATATCCTAGAGTTCTAGTGAGAAGTAGTGACCAGTGGAATTCAACCAGGTCTGTTGTGAGATAGTAACTGACTGAAGACAATGGTGAATGTGTCACTCAATTTCGTGGATTGGTTGAAGTTAGACATTAACATCGTTGGATGCCGGTTCAATGGTCTAGTAGTTAAGTGCTCGTGCGGGGAACCAGTAGGTCATGAATTCAAATCTTGCAGGGGGCGAGGTCGTGGATGCGCACTGCTGAGTTGTCCCACAATAGAACGAAACGACCGTTCAGTGTTTCCAGGTTTTCCATGATGGTTTAGCTTCAACTGACTCATGATATTAACCATTGAAATTACTATAATGCCACAAAACCTATCTGATATTAACGATTCTGTTTATAATAGATCTTTGAATTAAAAGTAAAGATAGATCATGATACTGTAAATTTATTGTTGAGTGTAAATGTTTCTCTTTATTAGTTTATTTCTTTATTTATTTATTAAATATAAAGTTATGTTAGAATAGAGATAGATGTTAATTAGTAATAGTGGAATTCAATTAACTTATTTCACATTCTATTTAGGAGTTCATGTTCATTAGTGAATATGAATGAAGTAATTTTCTTTTTAAATATTGAATACTTTATCCACTTAGTTATTAAGTTCATCAAATCATTAGTGTTGGGTATTTGAATAGAAAAGTAATAGGTGAAAGATTTTGAGTGAACATATACACTAAGATGTAGATACATTCAACTAAGGAGACTCAAACAGAACGGAATACGCTTCCTGGATTCGCCTATTAGCCAGTATTAAACTTAGTTAAAAATGGATAATTACCTAACGGCAATCTCAAGTCAATCCACTCAGCATATATATATATATATATCAGAAGGGTTTTTTGGATATTATAGTACTTCTTATTAGTTTAATTCATGAGTCAACTGAAGCTAGACCACCATGGAAAACCTGGAAGCACTGGACAGCCGTTTTGTCCTATTGTGGGACTCCTCAGCATATATATATGCCAAAACAGAATGACCAATATTTAATCCTTAACACCATCAACGGAAGATCTAAGCACTTATAAACGACTTATAGAAATTAGTTTTGCCTTGAAGATCAGTCCATTTCAAGAAGTACTGAGTAGTTAACTGATCTTAGATTGTAATTCAGCATCAATGTCAACTCGGGAACTTCAAGTCTTAATTTAAGGATAACACTATTCAGTTAATACCATATGATTTTATATTTCTAGCATCAATAAATCTATGATATGATACCATTGTTACCAATCGTCATCAATGATATTGTCTCTCAGCATTTGTGTTGAAATTTTTCTTGTACCTAATTACTGACATGAACAATAAACTTACGAACCATTCAACAGATAAAATGATTAGAAATATATTACATTTTTATCTAATTAATACATTGACTAGTTTATTAAAAAGTCAGAACAAGTTAAATGTTTAATAATAAATCAATTATTTCTCAATCTACCAATCAAATGAAACCAAGAACAAGAAGGAATTTTGGCAGAAAGATAACTGTCTATTTCTATCCATCCAAAATAACACAATATTTATTTTTCAAGTGATTAATATAGTCATTAAATGTAACATTGTAAAGATAAGTAGACAAATTGATCAATGAAGTTTTCTTGAAGTGATGAATTACTTTCGACTACCTCCAACCACCATCTAATCTCAAAAGATAGTGCCCATAATGTCAAGTCACCTAGACTGGTGGCCACATTGCAACATGGTCGATAGCATTCGATCTGTACTAAATAAGGAATTGACACACATGACATTGATCACCACCCAGTGATCAATCAATTGTGATTACATCTCAGTCCTACAGGAGGTCAGTCGCGGCTCGGATAGCTCAGTGGTGACGTCTCTGACTGTGAATCTGAGTGATACGGGGTCGAATCCGCCAGGGAGCACCAGTTCCCTCAAGATTACAGGTACACCTTGCTGACGAGTGCCAAGTAGCACGAAACCCGGGTCCAGCGTTTCGTGTCGACTACCTCCAACCATCATCTAATCTCAATACAAAGTAATTGTTATGCTTCATGAAGTCATAGTTATTACATGTAGAAGAGAATTATGAATGGTAATGCTTGAGAACTATTTATGGAACAATACGATATTTATTTATTGTATGATTATTAAGTAGATAAACTATGCATATTCATGTTCCTCTTATAAGTTTTATTTTGACCCATAAACTATTATTATACGATTCACCGTTCTTGAGTTATGCCCAGTTTATTAATTACAGTTTCCCACATTCACAGTCAATTTTGGCTAGATCTTGTACAAATGTTATTTTCTATTTTATGGTGTGATGTGGCCTGTTTGGTTTGCATATAAACCCAATATGTTTGAAATACATGATTGATATTGCGGAGTCTGAGATTTGTGTTCTGGACTTAACAGGTAGAGCTAGGCAGGAAGAAGAACCGATAAGGACTCTAGACTTGTCAAACGGGTTTTATGCGTTATTGGTCCGGTTGATAAATCACTGTTCTATAATTGGGGGTATCATTACGTTATATATATTGATAGGGATACAAGGCCACAAGTTATAACAACAGTTCGTAATTAACACAACACCGAAACTAAATAAACAATATTTTATTCAACTATATGTAACACTAATTTACTTGCAAAGTTTAGTGATACTACCCAAGTTGTCTAAATCGAATAATTTGGGAGGAACGCTCGAAAATGAAACACAGAAAATCGACCTCACAACTGAGTAAGTCAAATATAAGAGATAACACAAATGAAAATTAATAATTACTTACCTGAATCGATGGTTATTCTGATAGAATAATGCAGCAAATTAATAGTAGGTGATTAGTTGAGGAGACATAAAGTTGAAAAATTGGGAAAACATTTTTGTGTGTAAATTTCGATCAATACAATTTCTGGTTGTCTTTTTAGAACAAAAGTGAATTGGAAATAAATGGATTAATAACATTATTACTGTTATAAAATGTCAAGTTTCATTTATGCGGTGAACCACGTTTAGACCACCATGTTTTTAATCGAGTTAAACTTTTCGATCGAGATTTTGAAACATCATCATCTTGTTCCAATGAAGATTTGTTACCTTTCAATAGATGTGATGTAAATCGACTTATTCTTTTGGATATATTCTGATGATCGGAGAGTTTAGTATCTAAATAAATAAATATATAATATTATATAATAGAATGTGATAAAAATGAAAGAAAAAATAACCTTCATTTATGTATCTATCAAAACTAAATTATGACATTATTTCAATGTTATTATCATATAGTTGACAAAAATTATGTAATTTCAATATTTGAGATCATGAATCGATTGGAGCTAAACTACCATGGAAAACCTGGAAACACTGGATGGCCGTTTTGTCCTATCGTGGGACTCTTCAGCAGTGCGTACCCATGATCCCGCCTCGCGAGACTCGAACACAAGGTCTATCGGTCTCGCCCGCGAACGTTAACCTTTAGACCACTGAGCTGGTATTCAATGGTGTTAATGTTTAACTTCAACTAATTCACGAAATCGGGCGACATATTCACCATAATTTTCAGTGAGTTACTATCACACAACAGATCCGGTTGAATTAATTGTGAATAACCTTTTACTAATTATTTTCAAATTTCTGAAGATTATTTTACATTATCAGTCATTGAAAACTTACTGATTTACATGAGAATCACTTTACTTATAATTTGTATTGGATTCATTATCGAACAGGAGAAAGAAAGGATCTTTTCTTATTGATTTCTTATAGGAACATATATTTCATCAAAGAAATTTTTCAAATCTCGTATGTATGCATTCACATTATTCTATTCTTATTTCCTGTTCTAAATAATTGAGTCTTGTTTTTTTCTTCTCATTATTCTATAACCTAATTACTAAATTAATATCTTATTGGAAATAATCTATTATGTCATATATTACGTGGCGGCCTGCTTGAATATCTGGGCTACCTGTTCCTCCGATCTTGATATTTCATCAAGTTATCTGTTTTCTTGCTTGTTTTAGCATATCATTATGTCTATTATGCTCACAATCTATTCAGGCGCGTTTATGAAAAGTTTACAACCTTTCGCTGTATGGGTTACAAAAAGGTACAATCAGTGAACATTAATCAAATGTGGATTACCGAACTCCTAACATCTAACTAGTCGTCATTCAAAATTTATCGTCACAATCGATCAAGATATAAGAAAAGGAAACTTGTTGAAATACTTTATGCTGAGAATTCTATGTTGTACCAAAAATATAATGTTGAATAAAGCTTCTAATAATAATAAACAAATAAATATATCGTTAATGGTTTATTCATCGAAGCCTTGAAATATCTATGTTTATTCTGATTTTTACATTTGACTCATAAGTTTCAAATTAAAAATTATCATTACTTATGTTCAAAATCATCACTAGTGAGTATACTATTGAAAGAACTAATCTCATCACTTAAATAGCGACAAGCACTGTATGAATATATCATGGAATTTTAACCAATGTCGAATAGTCGACTGTTTTGTTAGACATAGTCATTCAATAATATATTGTAATACTAAACGATCGCTTTTATTCTTTTGAAGGAATGAACGTAACAGATAGGATGCATCAAATTTAGATTCTGTACTTACCAAGATATATAATGAAGATAAATGTATAGCCTTTATGGAAACTGGATACTATCATACAGGTTACAACCTATATCATTCATTGCAGAAATCAAAGACATTATCATTGAATTGTTAGATCTGAACAGTTGATAAATATTGTAAATCATAAGATCGATCTACACTTTATCTATCCTATTGATTCTATCCAACTATCTTAAATTAAACACTGATATTATCATCAAACACTTATATGAAATAATGAAATGAGTATGAGTATCACTTTTTTTAACGCAACATACTTATATTTTATAATTAGGCTATTAACCGGTTCTATATGAATTGTTAAATACAAGAAGAAACTTATATATTAACTAACTATTGTATAGTAGTATTTATGGTTTATGGTGTCCTGATATTATGCATTCTTTCTAAGCTTAATTATATAAGCTATGTTAAATTATGTATATGAACTAAAAAGGAAAACACCGTTACCTTTCATTTGTACCAGTCATACATTGATAGAATAAATGAGAAATTTAATATGAAAAGTCTCTGGGATTTAATCATACTTATGACAATGTGCTATAATACAAAAAAAGCATGGAATCAGTTTTTCTAGTTTCTTTATCCATTACAAGAGAATGATAAGTCATTGATTAGTCACACTAGATCCCCTGTCATTCAAGAAAGTTCCATATAGAACAAATGAGATATAGTTAACAGTGGAATAAAGGATTTGTGTTTTGTGTTATTTGGGTTTCACCAGTTGAATTTACTTGTATCCTAGTGTTAAAGTTCACTCTGGGATAATTACTGGTTTGTGAAACAGGTATGAAATTAAATTAAATTTGTAATAATTTGAATTATTCTGTAGTTGTATAGGTTAGCGACTATTTAAACTCAGTACCTAACTGGATAACGTGATTGGACATTCGAAGCAAAAGGTATTGGGTTTGAATCTTGGAATGAACATTAACACTGAGATACAAGTAAATTGAACTAGTGAAACCTAATTAGCACAAAATACACATCCTGGATTCTACTATTAGTAATATTCTATGCATTCTATAAGAACTTGTCAAATAATGGTTATATAGAGGTAAATCACATAACATGTACACACCCCAACTACAATCGATAAAAATCTCATCTAAAAATATCAAAAAACGAAATTATGCAAACCATTACAAACTAAATTAAAGCTTTATATACTCTAGCTCAAAATGTACTCACAGTTTCTTTTCTCTTATTTTTTCAAAAGATGAATTACCGAATAATTTTACTGTGTGCTTATCAAGTATACTAAGAATATAAATTCAATAGTCTACGATTGAAATTAGAAGACTAGTTGAATTGACAGAGACTACTGTAACTATACTTTTACGTAGTGGCTAGCACTAAAATCTATGATAAGATTTTTGTCCAACATAGCACTTGTTAAGTTTATCCGAGTTCATTTAAGCTTTACCGATCATACTGAAACTAAAAGTTAGTACAGATTATTAGATATTTCAGAGTATCGTCTATTATGTTCACAGATATTGATCAATTTTGTGCTTTCATTAAAATTCCCAATAAAATTCTTCTATTATTAAGCAACAATGGGCTTATGTTTCCAACTTGTAAACATTAATCAGTAAAGTATAGGTATATGTCGATTCTTGAAATTTAATAAAGTAATAAATGTCCGACCTGAAAACATATAATGTTTTAGTAATTCCGATTGTTGAGATCATGAGTCAATTGAAGCTAGACCACCATGGAAACCTGGAAGCAGTGGACGACCGTTCCGTCCCATTGTGGAACTCCTCATCAGCGCGCATCCACAACCCCGCCTCGCAGGATTCGAACCCAGGACATGCTCATCTCTCGCGCTAGCACTTAACCACTAGACCATTGATACGGCATCCAACGGTGTTAATGTCTAACTTCAACTATCTTCAACTGACTCATGATCTCAACAATTGAAACTACTAAAATCTCCACAAAACCCCTTCTGATATAGTGTTTCAGTTAAAAATGTGGTTATTAATCCATTAGAAATGATGACTGGTTTCTTTCAATAATGCATTAGTCACATAGACTAGATACTTACTAGTAAAATATGTTGTTATTATTTTCAAATGAAAGATTTCAAGTGACCACTAGACTAATTTAAAAGAATCATTTACTTAGTCATTTTTCAATAATAATAATAATAGCTAGTAACATTTCAATATCGTCATGATGACTAACAGTTATTAGGTATGAAGCATTCACCAAAATAATGAATTGCTTGCATTGTATACACATGTTGTAGTCAACTAGGAAAAACTAGTCTTCAAAAATTTTCCTACACCACAACATCAACTATCAATAATAGGATAATTCAAATAAATTCATTATTATCAGAATGGGTTTTGTGGTGATTTTAGAAATTTCACTGGTTGAAATCATGAGTCGATTGAAGCTAGACCACCATGGAAAACCTGGAAGCACTGGACGGCCGTTTCGTTCTGGTGTGGGACTCCTCAGCAGTGCGCATCCACGACCCAGTGAGTCGTTACCAGTGGAGTTCAACCAGGTCTGTCGTGAGATAGGAACTCACTGGAGACAATGATGTACGATGGCGCAACTTCGTGGATTGGTTGAAATTAGACATTAACACCATTGGATGCTGGCTCAGTGGTCTAGATGGTTAAGCGCCTGGCGCGGGACTGGTAGGTCCTGGGTCGTGTATGCGCACTGCTGAGGAGCCCCACACTAGGACGAAACGGTTGTCCAGTGTTTCCAGATTTTCCATGGTGGTCTAGCTTCAACTGACTCATGATTTCAACCGGTGAACTCATTATTGTTGGAGTAAAAAAATATTCAACCGTTAGTAAAATGTTATCAAATTATATGATTATGAAACAACAATCAAACAGAACAAATAACCATCTAAGTATTATTAGTTGAATAAAATCACAGCGCTTTACCTATTGTAAAGGAATTATTACTTTAGTAAATAGTAAATCATCTTGGAACATACTGAATGATGTGATGGAAATAACTCATTTATCTATGTAAACTTATACGAATTTAAAAATCTAAATATTGTGACATTTCTTTTAATTGAAGTAAGATCTTCCAGCACTATGACTAGCACAATTTATTTGAACTTTTAAATGAGGAACCAGTTAACAACATTGTCAACTTCAATTGATTTATGAATTAATATAACTGAGATCTACTAGTATTGATACGTAAATTAAGTGATTTTATGAAAAATCTGTATAATTTGACGATCATTTCATCATATCTGATTAAGATCAGTCTATATCATTAAATAATTGAAATAGTCAACAGAATTCATCGACTTCTAACTAAGTATCATGTATGCTATGGTAACTAGCGACGTTGGACTTGATCCCTCATAAGTTTGGAGATGTATACTACTAAGATAAATTAAAAGGAGACACTTATCTTGTGCTTTCTAAATCCCATCAGTTCTCTAAACATCTTCAACTCACTGTAAAATCTATCCGTAACTGACACAATTGTGATACTATTAATAATAATAATAATAATAATAATAATAATAATAATAATAATAATAATAATAATAATAATAATAATAATAATAGCTAATCCTATTTTCTTCATTTCTTCATAATTTGGTATGAGACTTAAAGTTGAAGAGACTACAGCTGAGAAAAGATCTGTAAGGGAGATTGACTACTGTTTCTAAGCAATATTCCGCTTGAACACCTTTTAATTTATCTATTTATTGAAATTACCTTTTCTTAAATCCTAAGAGTTTTAATCCTTATATAGTTCAAGAAGTAGAACGTAATCTTATGTAAGCCGGTTAAAATAATTTCATTATCATCAAATGAAAATCTTTATCAAAGCATTAAAATTAAAAAAAGAACAACATAATTTCAATCTTTAACTTACCAAGTGATATAAGACTGCTTTCTTCCTCAGCTGTCATTCGAACAATACTGCCACTATTCTGCGAGAGTTGAGATATCAAAGTTCTTCTTGATTCACCTATAGGCCATTCAGGTTCATAACGTGGAATGGCTTTATCGTCGATATATGGAACATCATAAACTATTTCCTTGCTTGCTCGAAAACTTGGAATTTTAGTCGGTGTTAAAGCATCTGGAAACATGTAATCATCGTCTACAAAATGACACCCAGGTGGTGGATATTCTAAAGTGCTCCAAGGGCGGCGTTTTGTTGAATTTCCTATACTACGTCGAAGAAAGTCAGAAGCGTTTAATGAATTGTTATTTGAAGATTTTGTGGTTGACCTTGGTTGTAGATAACTAACCGAAACATCTTCGGTTAAAGTGTATTCATCTTGGTCTGAATTGAGACTTCCTACAAAGTCAGAATAGGGTTCTCTAGCACCATGCCACGTTTTCCGAATAGAGGGATCTCTGAGTTTACTGGGAGAACGCCGAGGAGTTAAAGCAAGATCAGCATTATGACCAGAAACAGATACTCCTATTAGGTCGTGGTAGTCTCCATGATGATCCAGCTTCATGGGAGTATCTGAAATAATTTCATCAGTCGATATTTGACCACCGAATATGTGTGGTTTCTTATGATGAGATTTCACCTTTTTCTTAGACTTGCTGTCAACTGTAATACGTCCTGAACCATCAGGGATGTTATAAAGAGTATTATTAACATTAAGTTTTTCAGTATTTGTTGAGATATGGTCGTTGGCATCGATGACTTTTACTCGGTGAGCAGAATCTTTATCATGTTTTTTTGATTTCAAAATATGAAATGGACTGTGTAATTTAATTTCATCAGATATTATCCCATTTGATGCATTCAAATTCTGAGTTGGAGAATACGATTCTTCTTCAGCTTCAGCACCTACAATGTCCTGTGATTCTGTAAAATATTGCTCTTTCGGTAGGACACGATCGGTTTGAATGGGAACAATAAAAATTTCATCAATTTCAGCCTCATCATTAGAAATGTCACCATTAAAACCAGAATCAACAGGAGATGAAAAGCTCTCATCTATATCCTGAAAAGCATTTCGAGGAGAAATTCGAGAAGGAAGAGTACTGGATTCACAAAATTCAGGTGAGGAAAATGGTGAAATAACAGGTTCCTCAACGACAGGAAGGAAATCAACAGATTCGAATGGACCAGAAGGTGAAGGCGAAGAAACGACAGCAGGACCGAAACCAATCACAGGGGAAATTAGGTCAGAGTCAGAAACAATCAAAACAGAATCACGCACGTAAGATTGCACGAAGTCGGGAGATAAGCAAGAATCAGAAAGAACGTAACCAGGGGAAACATCAACAACAGGAACAGAAGAAGAAAGAGAAGAAGAAGAAAGAACATTAGGTACAGAGTCTAATAAATGAATATTAGGAAGAGGTGCATCTACATGAAGTTTTCCAGACAAATCTGGTCCATGCACTTTCAACTTTGGCAATGAGATATTCGGAGACCAGTGGAACTTCTTACCTTTGACTCGATCACCTGAGTCCACATCAACCTTCACACTGGGAACATCAACCTTTCCACCCACATCCAAACTAGCATCCACGTCTCCCGACACTGTGGGCAACTTCACCTTCTTCGCCTTCTTGTCTTTCGAGCCCCAACCGAAGGTGAACTTCTTCTTCTTCGACGGAACACTGACATCCACACCGGGTGCAGAAACCTTCCCAGTCAGTCCCAACTCACCACCTGATACATCGATTTCGGGCACAGAGGCGGACACACCAACGTCGGGAACCTCCATGGAGACATCGAGTTCGGGTTTCGGAAGAGACACATCCACACCACCAGTCGTACCTGAGACAGACACCGAGGTGTCCGGCACTCCAACACCAGCACCTCCACCAATCTTCAGACCACCCTTCGGCAACCCGAACTTAGGAGACCAATGGAACTTCTTACCTCCCTTTCTTGCTTTACCATCTAAGTGAGCGTCCAAACCGGCATCCAAATCTATATCCCCACCTGCTCCACCCTCCACTTTCACATCAGCCTTTGGAGTCTTCACTTTCGTCTTCTTCTTGCCCAGACCGAACCCGAATTTCGGTGTCTTGATTGAAATATGTGGTTTCGGCACATCCACCTTAGCACCCACATCCACATCCGGCATCTCACCATGTACACGGAGATCTGGACCAGTCAGTTGCACACTGGGCAGTTTCACATCTGTGTCCAGATTGGCGGAAACATCTGGCATGGATAGGTCTCCCTCGACAGACGGTGCACTCACATTTCCTGAGATCTGTAGGTCTGGCAGATTCAAATCGGCGTCCACAACTCCCACACCGACACCCTCCAAATCGAGCTTACCGGATAGATCACCTCCCAACGATGCATCGGGAACGGACACATCGACAGTAGGCAAATGACCACTGGCTTTCAGAGATGGCATCTCCACAGATGGACCAGTCACATTCACATCCACATCAGGTGCATCTGCATGAAGTTTTCCAGACAAATCTGGTCCATGCACTTTCAACTTTGGCAATGAGATATTCGGAGACCAGTGGAACTTCTTACCTTTGACTCGATCACCTGAGTCCACATCAACCTTCACACTGGGAACATCAACCTTTCCACCCACATCCAAACTAGCATCCACGTCTCCCGACACTGTGGGCAACTTCACCTTCTTCGCCTTCTTGTCTTTCGAGCCCCAACCGAAGGTGAACTTCTTCTTCTTCGACGGAACACTGACATCCACACCGGGTGCAGAAACCTTCCCAGTCAGTCCCAACTCACCACCTGATACATCGATTTCGGGCACAGAGGCGGACACACCAACGTCGGGAACCTCCATGGAGACATCGAGTTCGGGTTTCGGAAGAGACACATCCACACCACCAGTCGTACCTGAGACAGACACCGAGGTGTCCGGCACTCCAACACCAGCACCTCCACCAATCTTCAGACCACCCTTCGGCAACCCGAACTTAGGAGACCAATGGAACTTCTTACCTCCCTTTCTTGCTTTACCATCTAAGTGAGCGTCCAAACCGGCATCCAAATCTATATCCCCACCTGCTCCACCCTCCACTTTCACATCAGCCTTTGGAGTCTTCACTTTCGTCTTCTTCTTGCCCAGACCGAACCCGAATTTCGGTGTCTTGATTGAAATATGTGGTTTCGGCACATCCACCTTAGCACCCACATCCACATCCGGCATCTCACCATGTACACGGAGATCTGGACCAGTCAGTTGCACACTGGGCAGTTTCACATCTGTGTCCAGATTGGCGGAAACATCTGGCATGGATAGGTCTCCCTCGACAGACGGTGCACTCACATTTCCTGAGATCTGTAGGTCTGGCAGATTCAAATCGGCGTCCACAACTCCCACACCGACACCCTCCAAATCGAGCTTACCGGATAGATCACCTCCCAACGATGCATCGGGAACGGACACATCGACAGTAGGCAAATGACCACTGGCTTTCAGAGATGGCATCTCCACAGATGGACCAGTCACATTCACATCCACATCAGGTGCATCTGCATGAAGTTTTCCAGACAAATCTGGTCCATGCACTTTCAACTTTGGCAATGAGATATTCGGAGACCAGTGGAACTTCTTACCTTTGACTCGATCACCTGAGTCCACATCAACCTTCACACTGGGAACATCAACCTTTCCACCCACATCCAAACTAGCATCCACGTCTCCCGACACTGTGGGCAACTTCACCTTCTTCGCCTTCTTGTCTTTCGAGCCCCAACCGAAGGTGAACTTCTTCTTCTTCGACGGAACACTGACATCCACACCGGGTGCAGAAACCTTCCCAGTCAGTCCCAACTCACCACCTGATACATCGATTTCGGGCACAGAGGCGGACACGCCAACGTCGGGAACCTCCATGGAGACATCGAGTTCGGGTTTCGGAAGAGACACATCCACACCACCAGTCGTACCTGAGACAGACACCGAGGTGTCCGGCACTCCAACACCAGCACCTCCACCAATCTTCAGACCACCCTTCGGCAACCCGAACTTAGGAGACCAATGGAACTTCTTACCTCCCTTTCTTGCTTTACCATCTAAGTGAGCGTCCAAACCGGCATCCAAATCTATATCCCCACCTGCTCCACCCTCCACTTTCACATCAGCCTTTGGAGTCTTCACTTTCGTCTTCTTCTTGCCCAGACCGAACCCGAATTTCGGTGTCTTGATTGAAATATGTGGTTTCGGCACATCCACCTTAGCACCCACATCCACATCCGGCATCTCACCATGTACACGGAGATCTGGACCAGTCAGTTGCACACTGGGCAGTTTCACATCTGTGTCCAGATTGGCGGAAACATCTGGCATGGATAGGTCTCCCTCGACAGACGGTGCACTCACATTTCCTGAGATCTGTAGGTCTGGCAGATTCAAATCGGCGTCCACAACTCCCACACCGACACCCTCCAAATCGAGCTTACCGGATAGATCACCTCCCAACGATGCATCGGGAACGGACACATCGACAGTAGGCAAATGACCACTGGCTTTCAGAGATGGCATCTCCACAGATGGACCAGTCACATTCACATCCACATCAGGTGCATCTGCATGAAGTTTTCCAGACAAATCTGGTCCATGCACTTTCAACTTTGGCAATGAGATATTCGGAGACCAGTGGAACTTCTTACCTTTGACTCGATCACCTGAGTCCACATCAACCTTCACACTGGGAACATCAACCTTTCCACCCACATCCAAACTAGCATCCACGTCTCCCGACACTGTGGGCAACTTCACCTTCTTCGCCTTCTTGTCTTTCGAGCCCCAACCGAAGGTGAACTTCTTCTTCTTCGACGGAACACTGACATCCACACCGGGTGCAGAAACCTTCCCAGTCAGTCCCAACTCACCACCTGATACATCGATTTCGGGCACAGAGGCGGACACACCAACGTCGGGAACCTCCATGGAGACATCGAGTTCGGGTTTCGGAAGAGACACATCCACACCACCAGTCGTACCTGAGACAGACACCGAGGTGTCCGGCACTCCAACACCAGCACCTCCACCAATCTTCAGACCACCCTTCGGCAACCCGAACTTAGGAGACCAATGGAACTTCTTACCTCCCTTTCTTGCTTTACCATCTAAGTGAGCGTCCAAACCGGCATCCAAATCTATATCCCCACCTGCTCCACCCTCCACTTTCACATCAGCCTTTGGAGTCTTCACTTTCGTCTTCTTCTTGCCCAGACCGAACCCGAATTTCGGTGTCTTGATTGAAATATGTGGTTTCGGCACATCCACCTTAGCACCCACATCCACATCCGGCATCTCACCATGTACACGGAGATCTGGACCAGTCAGTTGCACACTGGGCAGTTTCACATCTGTGTCCAGATTGGCGGAAACATCTGGCATGGATAGGTCTCCCTCGACAGACGGTGCACTCACATTTCCTGAGATCTGTAGGTCTGGCAGATTCAAATCGGCGTCCACAACTCCCACACCGACACCCTCCAAATCGAGCTTACCGGATAGATCACCTCCCAACGATGCATCGGGAACGGACACATCGACAGTAGGCAAATGACCACTGGCTTTCAGAGATGGCATCTCCACAGATGGACCAGTCACATTCACATCCACATCAGGTGCATCTGCATGAAGTTTTCCAGACAAATCTGGTCCATGCACTTTCAACTTTGGCAATGAGATATTCGGAGACCAGTGGAACTTCTTACCTTTGACTCGATCACCTGAGTCCACATCAACCTTCACACTGGGAACATCAACCTTTCCACCCACATCCAAACTAGCATCCACGTCTCCCGACACTGTGGGCAACTTCACCTTCTTCGCCTTCTTGTCTTTCGAGCCCCAACCGAAGGTGAACTTCTTCTTCTTCGACGGAACACTGACATCCACACCGGGTGCAGAAACCTTCCCAGTCAGTCCCAACTCACCACCTGATACATCGATTTCGGGCACAGAGGCGGACACACCAACGTCGGGAACCTCCATGGAGACATCGAGTTCGGGTTTCGGAAGAGACACATCCACACCACCAGTCGTACCTGAGACAGACACCGAGGTGTCCGGCACTCCAACACCAGCACCTCCACCAATCTTCAGACCACCCTTCGGCAACCCGAACTTAGGAGACCAATGGAACTTCTTACCTCCCTTTCTTGCTTTACCATCTAAGTGAGCGTCCAAACCGGCATCCAAATCTATATCCCCACCTGCTCCACCCTCCACTTTCACATCAGCCTTTGGAGTCTTCACTTTCGTCTTCTTCTTGCCCAGACCGAACCCGAATTTCGGTGTCTTGATTGAAATATGTGGTTTCGGCACATCCACCTTAGCACCCACATCCACATCCGGCATCTCACCATGTACACGGAGATCTGGACCAGTCAGTTGCACACTGGGCAGTTTCACATCTGTGTCCAGATTGGCGGAAACATCTGGCATGGATAGGTCTCCCTCGACAGACGGTGCACTCACATTTCCTGAGATCTGTAGGTCTGGCAGATTCAAATCGGCGTCCACAACTCCCACACCGACACCCTCCAAATCGAGCTTACCGGATAGATCACCTCCCAACGATGCATCGGGAACGGACACATCGACAGTAGGCAAATGACCACTGGCTTTCAGAGATGGCATCTCCACAGATGGACCAGTCACATTCACATCTACATCAGGTGCATCTGCATGAAGTTTTCCAGACAAATCTGGTCCATGCACTTTCAACTTTGGCAATGAGATATTCGGAGACCAGTGGAACTTCTTACCTTTGACTCGATCACCTGAGTCCACATCAACCTTCACACTGGGAACATCAACCTTTCCACCCACATCCAAACTAGCATCCACGTCTCCCGACACTGTGGGCAACTTCACCTTCTTCGCCTTCTTGTCTTTCGAGCCCCAACCGAAGGTGAACTTCTTCTTCTTCGACGGAACACTGACATCCACACCGGGTGCAGAAACCTTCCCAGTCAGTCCCAACTCACCACCTGATACATCGATTTCGGGCACAGAGGCGGACACACCAACGTCGGGAACCTCCATGGAGACATCGAGTTCGGGTTTCGGAAGAGACACATCCACACCACCAGTCGTACCTGAGACAGACACCGAGGTGTCCGGCACTCCAACACCAGCACCTCCACCAATCTTCAGACCACCCTTCGGCAACCCGAACTTAGGAGACCAATGGAACTTCTTACCTCCCTTTCTTGCTTTACCATCTAAGTGAGCGTCCAAACCGGCATCCAAATCTATATCCCCACCTGCTCCACCCTCCACTTTCACATCAGCCTTTGGAGTCTTCACTTTCGTCTTCTTCTTGCCCAGACCGAACCCGAATTTCGGTGTCTTGATTGAAATATGTGGTTTCGGCACATCCACCTTAGCACCCACATCCACATCCGGCATCTCACCATGTACACGGAGATCTGGACCAGTCAGTTGCACACTGGGCAGTTTCACATCTGTGTCCAGATTGGCGGAAACATCTGGCATGGATAGGTCTCCCTCGACAGACGGTGCACTCACATTTCCTGAGATCTGTAGGTCTGGCAGATTCAAATCGGCGTCCACAACTCCCACACCGACACCCTCCAAATCGAGCTTACCGGATAGATCACCTCCCAACGATGCATCGGGAACGGACACATCGACAGTAGGCAAATGACCACTGGCTTTCAGAGATGGCATCTCCACAGATGGACCAGTCACATTCACATCTACATCAGGTGCATCTGCATGAAGTTTTCCAGACAAATCTGGTCCATGCACTTTCAACTTTGGCAATGAGATATTCGGAGACCAGTGGAACTTCTTACCTTTGACTCGATCACCTGAGTCCACATCAACCTTCACACTGGGAACATCAACCTTTCCACCCACATCCAAACTAGCATCCACGTCTCCCGACACTGTGGGCAACTTCACCTTCTTCGCCTTCTTGTCTTTCGAGCCCCAACCGAAGGTGAACTTCTTCTTCTTCGACGGAACACTGACATCCACACCGGGTGCAGAAACCTTCCCAGTCAGTCCCAACTCACCACCTGATACATCGATTTCGGGCACAGAGGCGGACACACCAACGTCGGGAACCTCCATGGAGACATGGAGTTCGGGTTTCGGAAGAGACACATCCACACCACCAGTCGTACCTGAGACAGACACCGAGGTGTCCGGCACTCCAACACCAGCACCTCCACCAATCTTCAGACCACCCTTCGGCAACCCGAACTTAGGAGACCAATGGAACTTCTTACCTCCCTTTCTTGCTTTACCATCTAAGTGAGCGTCCAAACCGGCATCCAAATCTATATCCCCACCTGCTCCACCCTCCACTTTCACATCAGCCTTTGGAGTCTTCACTTTCGTCTTCTTCTTGCCCAGACCGAACCCGAATTTCGGTGTCTTGATTGAAATATGTGGTTTCGGCACATCCACCTTAGCACCCACATCCACATCCGGCATCTCACCATGTACACGGAGATCTGGACCAGTCAGTTGCACACTGGGCAGTTTCACATCTGTGTCCAGATTGGCGGAAACATCTGGCATGGATAGGTCTCCCTCGACAGACGGTGCACTCACATTTCCTGAGATCTGTAGGTCTGGCAGATTCAAATCGGCGTCCACAACTCCCACACCGACACCCTCCAAATCGAGCTTACCGGATAGATCACCTCCCAACGATGCATCGGGAACGGACACATCGACAGTAGGCAAATGACCACTGGCTTTCAGAGATGGCATCTCCACAGATGGACCAGTCACATTCACATCTACATCAGGTGCATCTGCATGAAGTTTTCCAGACAAATCTGGTCCATGCACTTTCAACTTTGGCAATGAGATATTCGGAGACCAGTGGAACTTCTTACCTTTGACTCGATCACCTGAGTCCACATCAACCTTCACACTGGGAACATCAACCTTTCCACCCACATCCAAACTAGCATCCACGTCTCCCGACACTGTGGGCAACTTCACCTTCTTCGCCTTCTTGTCTTTCGAGCCCCAACCGAAGGTGAACTTCTTCTTCTTCGACGGAACACTGACATCCACACCGGGTGCAGAAACCTTCCCAGTCAGTCCCAACTCACCACCTGATACATCGATTTCGGGCACAGAGGCGGACACACCAACGTCGGGAACCTCCATGGAGACATCGAGTTCGGGTTTCGGAAGAGACACATCCACACCACCAGTCGTACCTGAGACAGACACCGAGGTGTCCGGCACTCCAACACCAGCACCTCCACCAATCTTCAGACCACCCTTCGGCAACCCGAACTTAGGAGACCAATGGAACTTCTTACCTCCCTTTCTTGCTTTACCATCTAAGTGAGCGTCCAAACCGGCATCCAAATCTATATCCCCACCTGCTCCACCCTCCACTTTCACATCAGCCTTTGGAGTCTTCACTTTCGTCTTCTTCTTGCCCAGACCGAACCCGAATTTCGGTGTCTTGATTGAAATATGTGGTTTCGGCACATCCACCTTAGCACCCACATCCACATCCGGCATCTCACCATGTACACGGAGATCTGGACCAGTCAGTTGCACACTGGGCAGTTTCACATCTGTGTCCAGATTGGCGGAAACATCTGGCATGGATAGGTCTCCCTCGACAGACGGTGCACTCACATTTCCTGAGATCTGTAGGTCTGGCAGATTCAAATCGGCGTCCACAACTCCCACACCGACACCCTCCAAATCGAGCTTACCGGATAGATCACCTCCCAACGATGCATCGGGAACGGACACATCGACAGTAGGCAAATGACCACTGGCTTTCAGAGATGGCATCTCCACAGATGGACCAGTCACATTCACATCTACATCAGGTGCATCTGCATGAAGTTTTCCAGACAAATCTGGTCCATGCACTTTCAACTTTGGCAATGAGATATTCGGAGACCAGTGGAACTTCTTACCTTTGACTCGATCACCTGAGTCCACATCAACCTTCACACTGGGAACATCAACCTTTCCACCCACATCCAAACTAGCATCCACGTCTCCCGACACTGTGGGCAACTTCACCTTCTTCGCCTTCTTGTCTTTCGAGCCCCAACCGAAGGTGAACTTCTTCTTCTTCGACGGAACACTGACATCCACACCGGGTGCAGAAACCTTCCCAGTCAGTCCCAACTCACCACCTGATACATCGATTTCGGGCACAGAGGCGGACACACCAACGTCGGGAACCTCCATGGAGACATCGAGTTCGGGTTTCGGAAGAGACACATCCACACCACCAGTCGTACCTGAGACAGACACCGAGGTGTCCGGCACTCCAACACCAGCACCTCCACCAATCTTCAGACCACCCTTCGGCAACCCGAACTTAGGAGACCAATGGAACTTCTTACCTCCCTTTCTTGCTTTACCATCTAAGTGAGCGTCCAAACCGGCATCCAAATCTATATCCCCACCTGCTCCACCCTCCACTTTCACATCAGCCTTTGGAGTCTTCACTTTCGTCTTCTTCTTGCCCAGACCGAACCCGAATTTCGGTGTCTTGATTGAAATATGTGGTTTCGGCACATCCACCTTAGCACCCACATCCACATCCGGCATCTCACCATGTACACGGAGATCTGGACCAGTCAGTTGCACACTGGGCAGTTTCACATCTGTGTCCAGATTGGCGGAAACATCTGGCATGGATAGGTCTCCCTCGACAGACGGTGCACTCACATTTCCTGAGATCTGTAGGTCTGGCAGATTCAAATCGGCGTCCACAACTCCCACACCGACACCCTCCAAATCGAGCTTACCGGATAGATCACCTCCCAACGATGCATCGGGAACGGACACATCGACAGTAGGCAAATGACCACTGGCTTTCAGAGATGGCATCTCCACAGATGGACCAGTCACATTCACATCTACATCAGGTGCATCTGCATGAAGTTTTCCAGACAAATCTGGTCCATGCACTTTCAACTTTGGCAATGAGATATTCGGAGACCAGTGGAACTTCTTACCTTTGACTCGATCACCTGAGTCCACATCAACCTTCACACTGGGAACATCAACCTTTCCACCCACATCCAAACTAGCATCCACGTCTCCCGACACTGTGGGCAACTTCACCTTCTTCGCCTTCTTGTCTTTCGAGCCCCAACCGAAGGTGAACTTCTTCTTCTTCGACGGAACACTGACATCCACACCGGGTGCAGAAACCTTCCCAGTCAGTCCCAACTCACCACCTGATACATCGATTTCGGGCACAGAGGCGGACACACCAACGTCGGGAACCTCCATGGAGACATCGAGTTCGGGTTTCGGAAGAGACACATCCACACCACCAGTCGTACCTGAGACAGACACCGAGGTGTCCGGCACTCCAACACCAGCACCTCCACCAATCTTCAGACCACCCTTCGGCAACCCGAACTTAGGAGACCAATGGAACTTCTTACCTCCCTTTCTTGCTTTACCATCTAAGTGAGCGTCCAAACCGGCATCCAAATCTATATCCCCACCTGCTCCACCCTCCACTTTCACATCAGCCTTTGGAGTCTTCACTTTCGTCTTCTTCTTGCCCAGACCGAACCCGAATTTCGGTGTCTTGATTGAAATATGTGGTTTCGGCACATCCACCTTAGCACCCACATCCACATCCGGCATCTCACCATGTACACGGAGATCTGGACCAGTCAGTTGCACACTGGGCAGTTTCACATCTGTGTCCAGATTGGCGGAAACATCTGGCATGGATAGGTCTCCCTCGACAGACGGTGCACTCACATTTCCTGAGATCTGTAGGTCTGGCAGATTCAAATCGGCGTCCACAACTCCCACACCGACACCCTCCAAATCGAGCTTACCGGATAGATCACCTCCCAACGATGCATCGGGAACGGACACATCGACAGTAGGCAAATGACCACTGGCTTTCAGAGATGGCATCTCCACAGATGGACCAGTCACATTCACATCCACATCAGGTGCATCTGCATGAAGTTTTCCAGACAAATCTGGTCCATGCACTTTCAACTTTGGCAATGAGATATTCGTAGACCAATGGAACTGTTTTCTCCCGATATGTTTTTTCTCTTTTTGTATTCCTTTTCCTGGTTTTTCTTTTTTTACTTTTACATCTGCTGGCGGTTTTCCTTCTTCTGTGGTTTTCTTCATTTGTTTTGGTGGATTTTCTTTTGTCATATGAAATTTGACGCATGGGTTTATCATTCGTTTTCTCTTTTTCGTTTCTATCTTCTGATTTTGTTTCTTCTCTTTTTCATCTTTCGTTCTTTTTTCTTTGTTTGCTCTATTTTCCCTTATTCGTCTTTCTTTGTTTTGTACTCCTTTTGTAATCTGTTTTTCGTTTTCTTTTACTTCATTTTTCTTTCGAGGTAGAATTTTCATTTTTCTTATCACGTTTTTGTTTTCCATTGCTGATGTTTCAATTGGGACATGTTCATTAAGTTGATTATTTAAATGTTGATCAGGAATTTTGTATTGTTTTCCACTGATAACTCCTTCATCAGGTTTATCTTTTTGTTGCATAATTTCTGATTCCTTTCTATTTCGATGTTCATGTTTTTTAAATTTAAGTTTTGGTGAACAACCAATTTTTTGTCTTTTTTCAATTCTATTACTTTCATCAGTCATTTTTCCCTGACTATCCAGTATAACAATGTCATTTTCTGTATTATTCATATTCATTTTTAGTTTTGGCTTCATAAAATGTAATTTTTGTTTTAATAACACTTTACTAGTTTTCGATTTCTCTGAATGTTTTGTTTTCATTAATGGTTCATTTAATTCTGTCTGTACATTACATATTTCTAAATCATAAGGATTAGGTTCTGGCTTAGTTGTATCATATTTTGATAAACAATTTTCATATCCCTGATTATTAATATTTATATGATAATCACTAGTTAGTCGTTGAGATTCATCTTCTTTACTTAGGTTATCATGAGAATTTAATCGATATTTATGACTTACCTTTGATTTGATATTATTATTATTAATAATAGAATCCTTATGGATATTATTTAAGTCATTAAAATCCAAATTATGTTTATTTAATTTAGGTGAAGTTTCTTCACTCGACTGTACATAATATACTGGAACATATAAATTACTACTCAATGGTAATTTAATTGGTATGTACATAGGATTATCCAATTCTGTACAAATATCTTTTTCAATACTAGAATGATATATTTCATAATCATCTGTATGTCTATAACATGATACAGTTTTTTCTGTATCACGGAATTTTTTCAAATTATCACCATCATCATCAACAACAACAACAACATCTACATTGGTAGTAATATCATTGTATAGATCTTTTTTAACTTTTAACGAATCATATTCTTGACATTCTAATGGAGGTGTATGACTTGTTTCCCAAACATCAGATAATTTAGATTTTTTACATTCTGGATCTATTAATGTATCATATAATTCACATGTAATATTTGATTTTAAATTATCATCCATTTTTATTAGATCTACTTTCATTGATTCATCAGTTGTTGGTGATGATTGTTTCATATCAATTGGATTCAATTCAGTAGACATAGTAAAAATAGATATTTATTAAAATAGAGATATTTTCCAATGTAAATAATAATGTTATACTTTCTTAAACTGATTACGTCATAAGTTCAAAAGAATGTTCATAACATTGATGATAAATTTCCGTTGAAATTAAGTGAAGGAATATGTCTCCATAGAAGATCAATTTAAACTTTGTATATTATAACAAATAACATATAGTGGATATCAACTTTCATATTATATAAATGAATTCTTTCATAGAAAATTTAATTGATATAGCAACTTGAATATATATAAGTAGAAAATGATCTATGTATATTTGTCCAATATTCTCATTGATCTTGTACTGATCATTTGTATAAATCTGTTATACGGTTATCAATTGAAGAAGAAGAAGAAAGATAATAAAAAATGATTCCACTATTATGTTGAATACAAATATAGAAAATACAAAAACAAAAAATAAGGCGTTTTTTTTGTTGAAAAAATTCGAAAGTATACTTGCTGCCTTAAATAAATTATTATTGATGATGATTATTGTATTTCACAAATTGCCTTATATTGTTTCTGATTGAAATTTTGCATTATTGTATGGAGACATGCATCGTTTGAAACCTTCACTGTAGAATTGAATATTATAGAAATTAGATAGTCGTTGATTCTATATATTTTTTTCTTTTTTTTTGTTGTTGTTGGATAATATTGCGTAGGTGTTGATAAATATTATTGATCTCTCAAGTTTGTAAAGAAAACAAAAACCCCCCTTTGAATATAATAATAATAATAATAATGTATATGATAGTTGTTTGTTTGTTATGAATGGTGAAAAGAAAAACAAAAACTTTTTTTAAAATTTTTTTCTTAAAACAGAGTAACCTATCAGCTTAAAAGTGAATTGAACTTAATTTGCCTGTATACTTTTGATTACATGTGTAGTATTATTATCACCTATCTGTGCTCATGATTACTGGTATTGGACAAAATTTTTTTTTACTTAAATTGCGTGGCCATAATTAGAAGTAACCAACTAGCTAGCCTATATCATTTCAGTTTAGAAAAGAATCAATCAAATTGGTAAAAATTCAGGTAAAATGAGAGACTAACAGATATAGATTGATAGACAGAACAGTAATGAATTAATCCAATCCCATTCAACTTAACTAAATGATTATTCTATTGTAATCATATTTTCACGTTTATCATATTCACTTACTAGTATTATTGCATAGTGAATAATGCTAATGGAAGAATACTTGAAGTAACCATTTGAAAAAAGGATTTTAAGACATTCTTCTTTGTTTATTAATCCTTATCTACATAGATCTTTACGTAGAAAGTAAATCTAGATTTCTATAGTTTACATTATGTGAACTGATTTTAGTTAGACAATCATTGAAAATCAGAAAGCACTGAATAATTTGTTTTTCTAGTATATGACTCTTTAGTAAAGTGTCCTCATTGTTCAATCAGGACTAGAACCCAAGCTAGTCAGATCTCACAACATGTGCCTGGCATTTAAATCACTTAATTGACTTTCAAATAGTCATATTCCTGACCTTAGATAAATTTTAATATTGTGAAATCATCAATCTCTCACATAGAGATAAATAGAAGTTTAACTCCACTTGTCAACCAAGTTCTATTTAAGATCTGTATAATTGTGTTCTTCGATAATTGATTACAAGAAACTATATAAATAAGTCAGTTTATCTTCAGTGAATACTTTAAAAAAGTGGTTACCTATTATTCATTACGAAGAATATTTTATTTGAGTGAAATAGACAAATTAAACTGTATAATATTTAATAATTGAATTCATAAGTCAATTGAAGCTAGACCCCTATGGATAACCTGGAAGCACTGCAAGGCCGTTTCATACTAGTATGGGACTCCTCAACAGTGCGCATCCACGATTCTGCCTCGTGAGATTTGAACCCAGGACCTATCGGTCTCGCACGCGAACGCTTAACCTGATCCGGAATCCAACAGTGTTACCATCTATCTTCAACCAATATTTATTTGTTTCAGGTCTTTGGAGATTTGTTCAATAATGGATGTACTGAATGAGTAACTTTTGGGAAACTTTTAATGAGTATAAATATATATTTTTCTAGATATATTTTAATTTTGTTATTGTTTGACAATGATATTGATCTTTCTAGATTCAGTTAAGTTTTCGTTTTGATTTGGTTCATGAATTGGTTGAAGATATAAATAATGTAATCAATATATGTTGCTTTCTATATATATGCTAATTCATATATATATATGCTAATTCATTCAAAATCTCATTCTACCAACTTTATTCTTAACTATTCGATCTCATATTTGCTTTATCCCGAATTGTTTCAGGTTATTTTCACCAATTAAATCTTAATTCACTCATGGAGTAAGTAGTTCAATTTTTCTCATGTTCTTTACTTTTCTAGATTTCCCTATACATTTTGCTAAGCACCTCCACCTAAATACACAAAGTACCTGCAGGTTAGATGTAAATCATTATTAGGACTATTTCAGACACTTTCTCAAAATGCCCACCATAATATTTAATACAAAGTGATGAGAGTGTAATATTCTACTAATTTCAGTCATTAATTACACTTTTCTGAAGCATGACAACATTTTAGGCTTTAACTGGAGACCAGTTATATAATACAGTTTTTAATAATTTCCATTCTCATTAATAGGGGGTTTATGGAGATTGTACAGAGTTTAATAGTTGAATTCATGAATCAGTGTAAACAAGACCATAATTGAAAACATGGAAGCACTGGACTGCCGTTTCGTCCTATTGTGGGACTCCTCAACAGTGCGCACCCACGATCCCGCATACGGGATTTGAACCCATGACCTTCGGTCTCATGCGCGAGAAAGTTTTAACTTGTAAAATACGAATTATCACGATCGTCTATTTGATAATAATAATAATAATAATAATAATAATAATAATAATAATAATAATAATAATAATAATGGTGAAAACAGCATTAGCAATAATAGTGGAGATAATAATAATCGTTATTATCATCATTATTTTTGGTTTAGCACGTTTAAAACTAGTGAGAAAACGCTAATAATCTGACCGGTTTACTTTTACAATAACGTTGACTGAAGAATAGTTGAAAATAAGAGGTTACTGATCAGTTACTGGATTCCACTTTGAGGATCATCAGACCTTTACATTACAGAAGATTAAATCTTAAAAATCTTAATAAGATGCCTTCAACCTACTGATTCAAAATTCAGTGATTAATATGACCAAATTTAAATCAACTTATAACACATATCAGTCATTATCAGATGCAATAATGAAATAATGACTATACTACTCTGAATCAGACAAATTCATATCATTGAGCTTAAAGAGTTCTTTCTTGTTTTCGTCTTTTTTTAGAATCTATAAACAGGATATATCAATAGGATGTCGTTCAGAACAAGGATAGGGTTAAATATATTCTTTCCATGTGGTATAACTTTACTTCATTCCTTGAAATACATCGATTAACACGTATGAATCAATGTTGTATATTTTGCCCCATAATTATTACGTTTCAGTTGATAACATGAGTAAAATAAACACATTTGAAGATTTTAATTAGAAGTTTATGACTAAAAATATTGACAATGTAACTATTGTACTATTTGATTGAAAGTGAGAAATGTTGTCAAAGATAATTTTTTTGTTACCATGTGACAGTTTTTGAAGAAGATTTTAGAAAATGTGTACGAATGAAATTTCCTAATTTTGTAACATAATTTGTTTCTATTCACTTGGTGTTGTTTTACGTGTATCTTCCCATTGTTATTTAGGATCGGTTGAAGTTAGATATTAACATTGTTAGATGCCGGCTTAGTGGTTCAGGACCGATAGGTCCTTGATTCGAATCTTGCGAGGTGGGGTCGTGGATGCCCATTACTGGGGAGTCTCATAATAAGACGAAATGGCCTAGGATTACTTCCAGGTCTTCGATGGTGGTCTAACTTCAATAAACTCATGAATTTAACCATAAAATTTAGTTATTTGTTTACATTAATTTAAAACAGATGTAATGAGATACAATAAATTTATCTGATTTAAATTTTGTAAAAACTTACTTAATATTATGGTTTACTTTAGGAAACAAATACTGAATAGCCAACACGTTTTATTGTGGGTCTAATTAAAAGTGAACACTTGTCAACTCATACTAGTTCAATCGCAAGATGATTATGACTCTCAGGGAACACAATTTAGCCGAACGTCTGTGTCGGAATCCAGTGGTCCGTATTTCCAACATCAGTTACTTTGAAATATAGAATAATTTTTATCTAATATCAACTTTGGAAATGACCATCGTTAAAAGTTAAAGTTTCCGAAAAGAAGATAGAGAACTTTTTATTGAGTTTGTTATTTATTTATTAGTCATTATAGTGTTTTGTAAACAATTTTTAATAAACCACACGTACTAGTAGTTAGCTCTATCATTGAAAAGGATTATCAAGTGATAAATAGTGAATTTCGATAATCTACTTTTGTTATTTCAAACTTTAAATCTGAAATGAAAAGTAGTAGGCCCGAAGAGCCCTGTAAAATTTTCTAAAAGAATCAGAAGAAACTAGTCTTTACGTAGCTCATTGCAAAATTCTACCATACCAATTTAAAGACTTGTTGTCCAATGAGAGTCTTAAGGTTTCAGATACACAACCACAGAAAATTAGCTCTTATCAGTTATCCATCGAAACTATGTAGATGTTCTCTGCTTCCTGAACTTCGATATCTCTACCAGTAATATTATCGTGATATAGAACTTTCGAAATTACTGAGCGGAAACTTTAACAATTACTTTTATAATACATTTCATTTGTAGTCTAAAATTTACTTTGAATAGGGATATAATTCCAGTTTATCCTTATTTCGGTTACCTCAACGAAAATTCATAACTTTAAAAATTCATAGTGAACTAATAATATTCGTTAGTTCAGTACGAAACAAAGTCATCTTTGAAGTGATCAGATTGTTATCAGTAGCTAAATGTACTAGT